TTGTTAATCTGCACACCAATAAAGTTAGTCGAATACTTGGAAAGGTGGAGAATAATGATAGGTTCTTAAGAATAGCTTTATATCAAGGTGATCGGAGTAGCAAAAGAGTAAGAAAGATTCCTTCGGCAGCTGCAAATGTTAATGAGAGTAAGGAGCCTTTGACAGATCCCACTCTCCTGTGTTGTGCCTTTAAAAAGCACAGAATATATTTATTCAGGTAAGATTGTACACTCTACTGACCATTTTACCTCTGTTATGAAATCCAAAGGGGTATAGTTTTGCTATTTGATAATATCATATACAGATATTTTGTTGGTTGTGTTTTTTACCTTGGTACATCTTTTTAAAGAATGTCATCATTAGTAGTATCTCATGAAAACGAAAGTCACGATATCTAAGTTGTGAAATCTATCATGTATCAGTCGAAGAGAGCCGGAGGAGCCTGAAGATGCAACTAAAGGAAGAGATGTGTTCAATGAAAAACCTCCTGCTGATGAACTTTTGGCAGTTTCAGACATTGGAAAGTCAGTTACAACGTCACTTCCTGAGAATGTGGTGAGTTATCTTTGTTTGCCTTTAAAAGTAGGTTGAGAATTGACACTTATATTCCAAAAGCTTAACTTTCTTATGTTACTGAAGGGGTTTGGATCTTCAAGTCTTAATGTTAATGTAATGATTAATTCTTATCCTAAGTTTTTCTATTGCCCTGTACCATAATGGTTGGAGCCTTGAATAGCTCTTAATATGATGGTGTAACCTTCCATATTGTGGAGGAAAGCATATTGAAACAAAATAGTCATCTCTTCTAAGTGCTTGTCCTTGTTCAGCAGAACAGAACGATATCCTAAAACATATTCCCTCTTGATCCTTACATATGAGTTGGTTTCTTATATATTTTTCTTTTACAATCACAGGGTTATCTCTCTGTTCCCCAAAAGTAGCTTTACAATACAAATTTTTCTTTTTTGCAGATTCTACACACCACAATGGGTGATATTCACATGAAATTATACCCTGAGGAATGTCCAAAAACTGTGGAGAATTTCACAACACACTGCCGAAATGGGTATTATGACAATCTTATTTTTCATAGGGTCATCAAAGGCTTCATGATTCAAACAGGAGATCCTCTGGGAGATGGCACTGGTGGGCAATCTATTTGGGGGAGAGAATTTGAGGATGAATTTCATAAAAGGTAATTTTGTTTGTTTTTAAACATACTATCATATGCTAGAAATATCATCGCAATTTCAGACTCCAAGCTGATGATTATTTGGGAGTTTTGAAGCATAGACTGGAGACAGATAGTACACGCGCACATGGATATATGACTACATTAAAAATTGTAGGACATAGGGACACGATATACATGTATGTGTGATCAAATATCACAATAAGATGTTTACAGTCGTATGATTATTAGTCTCAACGAAAGTACTAAGACATCTTATTTGATAATGAAAAAACTTGAAGGAATTTGAGAAACCATTGTTGTAAAGAAAAATCCAGAAAAACTATGAAACTCCTAAACCACCATGGGGAAGAACCAATACGGTACTTCTAAAGGGTCATACAAAGAATTTCATAAATATCAAATTCCTAAGAATTGTAAAATTCATCTTTAACCAGCAGCATGAAAATTTAATCATTTTAAGCAGATTAACTCAAGCAAAACATTAATCAAAATTGAATCGTAAAAGGAACACATTAATCGAATTTATATCATAAGAGGTATTACACAAACATGGGGACATTTCTTGACGAAGACGGTGCAGTGGTTCAACAATAGGAAACGGTGGCTTGTTGGATGGTTTGATGGCGGTTGGTTCATTGATATATGTTTGCATATGCAAAGATAACGTAGGAAGGTAGAGGTGGTGGTTCAAAGTCAGATAGTGACTGGTTCAATGTGTGATAGTTTGATGGCAGACGGTAGCTGGTTGGATGGTATTTTTCAAATGGCTAAACATTAAGGAGGAAGACGAATTGTGTGTTTTGAAAAAAAAGAAGTAAATTTCACACGTCTGGGAGTGGGCTGAGTCCATTTTAGCGTGTTGTGTCCATTTTACTGGACCACATTGGGCATGTGGACACAGTTCAAAGTGGTGCTTCTTAGTTTGGGGAATATGCTAATGCCAAGTGGAAACTTCCTGTGGTATGGTTTTTATTCAGATGGAACTTTAGAGTAATAATTTTTTTCTCTCATACAGTTTGAGGCATGATAGACCGTTCACAGTTTCTATGGCAAATGCTGGCCCTAATACAAATGGCTCTCAGTTCTTTATCACCACAGTGGCTACTCCATGGTTGGACAACAAGCACACTGTATTTGGTAGAGTTGCAAAGGGAATGGATGTTGTACAGGTAAATTGCCTTCTATTTTTGCTTAGGAGAATCATGTTATTCAAAATCACTCGGCAAATACTTTCCAAATTTGTAGTGTGGGCATTTTGAAATCAGTCCTTCTCAGTTTCCTTTTCTCTAATATGAAAATTTTGATAAATGTTGCTCTTATAGGTTTTCTTCTATAATGTATTATGTTAAAATGTTTTGGGTCTTGTTGATTAAAGTCCTATTGAGAATATCTAATGTTGGCAGGCCATAGAGAAAGTGAAGACAGACAAGACAGACAAACCATATCAAGATGTTAAAATTCTAAATGTCACTGTACCGAAGTCTTGAAGGTCTTTGGTTTGTTTTGCCGCTGCAGCCATCAGTCATAAATTTACCGGTGATACTTGCCTGAAGAAGTTTTAAATGGATGACTTGAAGCTTCTTCCTTTAGTTTCATAGGTTTCCTACGAACTGAGGCAATTATTTAACAGGATGGGTGTTGTTTTTCATGCTTACACTTCCGTCACAGGTTCCATCTTCCTTTATGTGACTAATGGCTCAAGCTAACTGATGCTGTCTTCCGTGTTCTGCTCTGCCATTATAATGTGCTTTGCACGTCAAAGGAATCACTTGACATGTAATTTTTTCTGATAGAATACCTTATTAAAACTGTTTTTAAGTGTGGTATAAATTGTTTTACCCTTTGATATTTCCAGGCTAATAATTTAACTCTCATAAGCATGGACACCACTGTTCCATCCATCTTAATTTGACCTGCAATTTGTTAAAAGCAGTCTGCACCAATCCGGAGGGCTCTGGCGCACCTGTGGTGTATCTAAAACCTATAGTAATTATTTTTAAAGCTAAAACCTATAATAACAAGAAATTGTTATTTGCGACATTTTAGTGTGATCAGTTATGCTGCGTGCATGATGATTTTTAATAATTGAAGTTGTTATTGAAAGCACAAAAACTTGGTGATATTTGAATAGAAAGTAGAACAATGTTATCAATCTTTTCTATTTCGTAATAGATTTTAAAGAGGGTACATTTTTCTAGTTAAAAAAAGAACGCATCATTAGTCATCTATTGAAATTATCATTTAGTTTATTTACGATTGTGTAACAAAAAAGTATCGTATTTAAGAATATGAAAAAGACATGTACACAAAATTTAGCGTATATTTTATGAGCTAAAATTATGTTTTGACGACTAGACAAGTTGAACCAAAATTAAGAGTTCAATTTAGGTTGAATTTTTTTAAATGAATCTATGGCTTAAGAACTATTTTTTATGCCTAAAAAATCCCTAAATGTACAATACCAATACCAATAACCTAAGTATAAAATAAAATAAAAAAATAAAGTTCCTAAGTGATAGTTGCGTATCTGTTGAGAGCCATAAAATGACACTAAATGTTTAGCTTTAGAAAAATTATAGTTTTTACGGAGTAAATGCTATAGACTCAGTTCAAAATAGTTTATTGTGTCGGTGAAATAATAACAATAATAATAATAAAATCAAATTGTCTTACTTTGGGTCGCCAAGATAGTTGGCATATTCTCACTTCTTCCCTTGTATTACAATAATTTGAAGTTGAGATATTCCGTCCTATCAATTGAAACTTACTTTTAAAATGGCCAGTTTTAATTTGATTGTCAAATAATGATATATTCAATTCAAGTTGATTTTAGTTTTAAACAATGATGTTAAAACTTAAAAGCAGACAGTAATCAGGACCTAAAATAATGGTTAACCAGTGACCGATGATAATGAAAATCGCAACAATAAAAAAGGTATATGTAGAGGCTACTGTAAACGTGCTCAAGTACAGACAACGAAATATACTATAATCCAATATGAATGGAAGAACTTACAGAATGTTTCTATCTGGTAATACCATGTCTAGAGCAGGGACTATTACAGATATAACAGAGCTTCTGGATAAAGCAAACTTCTTAAACATTTCCAGGAAAAGAGTTAAATAAATCTTCATAAAAATACGATTCTATTATAAAATTTCATATTAACTTCAAAAATTAATTCCGGTAGCCCCGAGTTATTTTAAATTTTAATTATCAATTTGAATAAATATAATTTAATTAACGAAATCTTATTGTTTTACATTTCTCGGGGACTCCATGAAAATCAAGTTAAAAACGCAATTATAATTTGTAACCAGATACAAAAATTTCTAGGTAACTTCTTTTGAGAAGAATGATACCAAAGTGCAAATAGTTAAATATGGAAAAACATGGTTAAAGGGGGAACAGAAACCATCCTTTCATTGGTTAATGAAAAGAATGAATATTTGATCATTATATCACCAAGATTGATGAACAAAAGGAACTAGTAGACATGAGGACAAAGGGGAGTACCCTGTTAATCCATTTCAATAGATCATTCAAATGACTAAATTTGGGTAAACAAGATAACCCAAGAGCGTGATCAACGAATACTCATTGAAAACACGATTTTAAGGTGTAAACAAGTGATTTTACCTAAGATATTCATCAGTAACTTCAGATTTTCATCGGATTATAGAAATGGTACACCATAAAATAGAAAAAAAATTATTATATTTTCAGATTATTATCGTTTTAAAAAGTTTAAATAAATATATGAAGAAACAAGATAATGCTCACCTTAATAACCGATCAAACAAATTAAATCCAAACGTTACTAAATTATATCAGACAGTTTGATAACATTACATTGTCTCCAATGTGAAAAGGCAAATCTCAAAAACCTAAAAACAATATGTAACTCGAGTAACAAAACCTTGGGATTGAGCTAAAATACTAAATGGAACAGAAAATGTAAGACATAAAAACACCTCAGACCTTTTAGTCGAACAAACTGAAACCCATATCCTGCGAATCAAAGAAGGTAAAAATACATTCATCAGCAGAGAGAATTATAATTTATCCAACAAACGAAATTTGTGACATAAGTTTGAAACTTACATCATCCGACTCCTCCTTCTCTTCGACTTTCTTTTCTTCCTTTGCTTCTGCGGCAGGTGCAGCACCACCACCTCCAGCAGCTGGTGCAGCAGCAACAGCCACCGCAGCACCACCGCCAGACACAGCAGACATCTTTTCCCTTCCGCTGGCGAGTAGCTCATTGAAGTCTTTGCCCTTAACTTCAGCCAAGAGCAAGTTAATCAACTCATCCTCAGCTTCAGCTCCAACTAAAACATTGGAAAGAATATTCAGAATCAGTATTGCCAAACCATATAGATTAACCAAACATTCAACAAAATATCAAATTCTCATAGTCATTTTCTGGTTGTTAATTCTACAAGCCAAACCAAGCTAAACTTCAAATTAAAAAAAAAAAAAAAATCTTCCCTCAACATTCTACTATTCATCACAAATATTGAGACATTGCATCTTCATAGTATGATTTCAGTATTCTGATAATTAGTTCTACAAACCAAAAAACTCAAACCTTACAATCGAAAGAGAAAAACCCTTTAGCAACATTCTAGAATTGAATAAAGAAATTTGTTACATACAAATCCACTTCAGAAATCTAGCGAGAAAGAGAAAAAACTACAATAAGGTACTGGATTCAACCATCCAAAAAAAATCAATCCCAATAACGACAATTAAACAAGCAATAATATTAACAAGAAACACTGTCGTAGATGAAAATAAAACATAAAACTAAGGCAAATGAAAAATTGTGAAAAATAGTGAAAAAGCAAAAAGAAAATAATATTAAGATTGAGGAAATACCTGCGCCAAGGATATTTTTGATATCACTTGCAGAAGGAGTTGGGTTCCCTCCCAAAACTGCAAGCAAATAAGCACCCACAACCTTCATATCTGAATTCAAAATCACACAACACATTACATTTGTTAGTGACACAGATCGACAACGTAACACAACACAACACGTGCAAAATTAAATTAGGTGCGAAAGAAGGAAAACCCACTTTCTGAATTACTCTGATTTCCTCCTGAGTTTGGGATTAGGGTTTGAGCATACGAGAGGCGCAAAAGCTCAGACCAGAGACCTAATATATAACTAGGGTTTTCAGCTCTTTAGGTTCCATCTTTCTTATTTCCCATTATGTCCCTATTAACAATTAAGTAAACTTCTAATTTTTTTTTCTTCATCTTCTTCAATGGATAAAAGACTGTAAAGAAATTTTATGTAAAAAAATAAAAATAAAACATTATTCTACAAAAATAAATTTTATTATTGTTCTCTCTAATATTTAAATTTTTCATTGTTTAGTTATTTCTCTATTTTTTTATGCTACATAAATATGTTTTCAAGTCCTATAAAATTAGTAATTCTATCCTTTTTGTAACAGATTTTCTGTTTTATTTCTCAAGAAACTGACTGAAATTTTGTATACTATCTCTATAATATTCATGGCTTGAGGTGTAATTTAAACATCTCATACTTAAAAAATAAATAAATTCTAAAGCAATTTTTTTCCATCTACAAAACTTCACATGCCAAAGGTATTAATGTTAGATTTTAAAGAATTAAAATTAGGGAAAAGAAATTTTAAAATATAAAAATTCTATGAAAATTGAAATCAATTACATTATTTTTTGTAAGGAATGAAATAAAAAAAATACAAGAAGCAAAAGTAAAATTAGTCCATAGTAACTAGAAGCATAACTAAATTTATTATTTTAATTCTTTAGTTTAGGTTTCAATATATAATTTTTTATTTTATAATCCCATGTTTTATATTTTTTTACCTTTAACTTTAGCAAAATAAGTTTCTATTTTTATTTTATTTAAAATAAACATAAAATACTGATAAAAAGGATTTGGTTAACAAATTTAATATTTGAAAAAACGATTTTAATTGAAACAACTACTAAAACTATATATAGAAAAATTGAATGATATATAACTAGTATTCTAGGCTTAGTAATGCACATGATGGAATTTGTTTTAGAAAACTAAAACTTTAAAATAAAATGTATTTAAATATACATTTATATTGTAATTAAAAGCTATGTTAAAATATTTTAAACATATAAATTATGTTTCATATTTATAATAAAAAAATATATTTTGAAACAGTATTGTTTTAACTATTAATAATTTATTTTCAAAATATTACATTTTTATTTTAATTAAATATAAAAAAATGATTGAAAAGAAAGATAAGAAAAACAAATAAAGAACCTTACATATGTATTTTAAAAAAACTAAATAAAATCTCCTAATACATAATTATCAATATAATATATAAGATTATATTTTAAAAATATGATAAATGTAAGATCCATGAAAAATATTTACCTTAATTGTAACAATTTTATTACTAGTAGTAATAAATTTCTTTGTGAATGAAAAATATAATTAATAAGTTAAATATAGAAATTTTGGTAGCTTAAATGGTAGAAAATTGTGGTGATTTCAAGAACATGGGTTCAAGCCCTTTTCTACTTTTTTGTTAAAAAAGAAATTAAAAAAAATTAAAAAAATAAAAAAAAAATTAAAATATTGATAGTGGATAAAACACTTCAGATTTCAAGGCATTATTGAGGAATCCATTATGTAAGTGGTGATTAAGATATTAATATAATAAAATAATATTAAAATAATAAATAATATTAAAAAAATGGATGAATAGTAAAAATTTTGGACTATAAATAGCCATGAGAGGGGAGACTATTTTGCACAAAGAGAATAAAGAGTTAGGAAGAAATTTTTAGTTGCAAGAAGAGTAGAGGCTCTGGAGGGTTTTCGGGAAAACAAATTCGGAACAAGAGAATCTGGAATAGAGGTAAGGGAGCTAACCTTTCTAAGATTTTATATTATGATTTAGTATGGTTTTATTACTATTCATGCCTTGAAATTCTATGTGAATACTGTTAATGCTTACTGTATATCTATCTATATTGAATTTCTGTGTTAATATTATATGTTCTTGTTTTGAATCTGTAAATAAGAAATTTGTTAAAAACTAGTTGAGGAACACTTTGGCTAAGAAACACTTTGGCTAAGGAAAGACTTAGTACTTAAGTTGTCCATTGTGACGCACCTCTCTTTCTTGGAAGTCTACTCGACAAGTTTTTAACTTAAATCCTATTGAACAGATTATGTACTGTTAAATTATTGTGCAATATATCTTGTTGGAATGAAAATTTCTATTGAATTGATGTTATTGTGGTAGATATGGAATTATGAATTATAATTGTGATGGTAGGATAGAAGAATCTTAAAAAACCGGAGTTGGTACATCCCTGATCATAGAGCAGCCCTGGTCAAATCCAGTAAGTTGTGACTAGTCATATGTGCTGGCGTTTATGGTGTGTTTGATTCGTCAAACATTTGATTCTTCTCCGGTGACCATTTATGGTGATATTTTAGTATTGTTAATTTATTTTGTGATATATTCATTTTGTATAATTTCTGTGATGATTGTAATTTATTATATTGGATTTGAATTTATACATATGAACATGGTATGAGTATTAATTATGGGGATATTTCGTAAGGGTATAATATGAGTTGAGGAATGTGAGCATGGTATGAGTCTCGCGGAGAGATTCTGTAATGCCATGGTATGTGTGTATATGTTGATGTTGAGGGTCCTGAGTTGGAGGTTATCCTGATACTCTAATAATCATCCAGTCTCAATCGACATATCATTGGAATAAGTGTCTATGGTGTATCGTGGAAATGAGTGTTTATTGGGTATTATGGAATGGGTGTCCATTGAGTATTGTGGAATGAGTGTCTATTGGGTATTGTGGAAGGAGTGTCTATTGAGCGTATCAACGTAATGGATGAGTATCTATGATGCGATTGTATGATGGTATGAGTGTGTCTGACATAATTATTATATGAGGTTTGTTGAGTGCATCAAAGTAAATATGCACGTTTTATAAATGATTGGTTGCATGTTAACTCACCCTACTTGTTTGTGTTTGTGTTTGGGTATGTGCGATGATAGTATAATTCGTTATACGGGAGCAAATGAAGGAATGTCGTCTGACTCAGTGCCAATAAAGAGAAAGACAGAAGAATAAAGTAGAAGAACTCAAGTTATAATTTTGTAGTTGAAATATGAGTTTAAAACATGTATAGAAATAAATCAACTATGAATTTTTAAGTGTGAGATCAAGGGATGTTATTGTAATATTACAATATATAAATTATGAATTTTGAAATGTGAGATCTTGGATGTTACAATAAAAGAAAAATATTTTTCTATTCAAGTGTTTGTTAATTTTATACATCTCATTCATATAGTACTATGTAATTATGAGGTTAATAAATCACATAAGATGTTGTTAGCTTTTACATTATCTTTACATCATTTCTTAATTACAAAATATAAAAAAAAGAAGAAGTTGTGAGTAGACCAAGAAAAATTATATTAAATCAAATATTATATTAATGTATATATACATAAATAACTTAAAAGATCATTTCAGTTTCTTTTTCCTAACCAGATAATTCATAATGTTATAGTAGATATTTTGCATGTGCTATTAGACAACTCTGTAACTCTATAGCGGTACAATATTTTTTCTTTTAAAAACTCACTTTATATTTCAATTTATTGTACTCTTATATTTTTATGAAATAATTTAAAATTTATTTACCAATAAGAGTTAATATGGTTTTGTATTGATATTAGGACTAAGGTTGAGTACGGATAATTTTTTCTCGTATTCGACTGACACTAAATAGGGTTAAATATGTTTTTAGTCCCTAAACTATTGGTCGTTTCTGGTTTTCGTCCCTCTTTCAAAGTAAGGTACAATTTGGTCTTCATTCTTTTCTTAAAAATTTGGTCCTCATTTAGCAACAAATGAGGACTAAAACCAAAATTCCGAGGACTAAAACGAACGTTTCGAAAAAAATGAGAACCAAATTGTACCTTACTTTGAAAGAGGGACGAAAACCAGAAATGACCAATAGTTTAGGGACTAAAAACATATTTAACCCACACTAAATATAATATGTTCCGTTACTCGGCCTTATTATTTGTTGGTTTAAAAAATATTTGTAAATTTTTTTATAATCATCAATATTAAAAGATATCTATAAATATTCAAAAAAATATTATTTTATGTTTTTAAAATGAGATTTAGATAAAATTAAATAAATATATATATAATTTTAAAAGACAACTAAATAAAAGTTAGGATATATATGTTAGTTAATAGTATTTAAAACATACATATTCACATGGAAGTAATCTTAAAATTAAGTTTTATAATAAGTAAAAAAAATAGTCTAAGTTATAATAATTATTTTTATATATTGCAGTATTTTTTAACCGCTACTGATTTCTGAAAATGTAATAAACCTTATCATAACAAAGTATAATATAAGGGTTTAAGGCTATCTACACCTACTATTTTATATATTTTTTATAAAGTGACATTTTAAATAATAAATAATGATAATTAAGAGTAACATGGTACTTTTATTGATAAACAAATCCCACTGAAAACATTTGTGCATTGAATGTTTTTATTCACATTATATTACTATATTTATAAGTTATTAATATAATTAACTTTTAAATAAAATACATATTATTAACTGCGGTTATTTAAATATTTTATTATTTATTATTATCTAATTATATTTATAATTTCACAATTCAATAAAAAATTCAATAATGAAACAATTTAAAATATATAAAATAGTCATGACAGTAAAAAAAATATTTTATTTCATTGATAAATCACCATAACAAAATAATTACATCAATTACTAAAATGTTCAAATATAAAAAAAATAAAAGTTCATAAGACAATTCTACAATTAAAGTTATTATCCTAATCTTATTTGTCTCCACACGATCCCATTATATCATTTGAAAATGACATACCACATTTGGTATCCATCGCTGCAATGAATAAAAAATATATAAGAATATAAGTAATTGAAATTGAAATAAACTAAGATTAATTTATGTTAATCTCTTTAAATTTAAACTATAAAAATAGTATTGTACAATTAAAATTATGTGTAGGGACTAAAACATAAAATTTGTACAATTATAAAAATAAAAAAAATAATTAAATTAATAAGAAAGTAAATGGATAACTGTAATCATCCCTGCAATTTT